GATATAAATTTAATAAAATAAATAAAATAAAAATAAATAAAAATAAAATTGGCTCACCTAAGGACATTTGGCAGTTATGCCTGGGTGCATATTCCCAAAAGCACCAGAAGGAAAGGACAGAAAAAGGCCAGGAAACTTAAGTTTGTTGGATATGAGCCAGGTTCCAAATAGATTCACAGATGGAACAAAGAAGGTTGTGATTTCAAGGTCTACTAGTTTTGCAGAACAAAACAATTGGGACAGAGTGCATGCTAACACCGAGGTGTTCATGCCAACACGTAGCGCTAGTTCTCAGGAAGGAGAGGCTACACAAAGCCCAATGAAGGAAGAACAGGATAGCAGGTCAGAAATAGTAGGAATAGAAGAGGATAGACCTGAGGTAAAGAGAGAAATAATAGAAACACAGGAACAGATGATACCAAGGAGGTCTGAACGTAGCAATAAAGGCGGAGCTCCTGATTGGTTCTCAGCAAGTGGGGTTAGAGCGTATAGTGTAAGGTATGAACCCCGTAATTACCAAGAGATATTATCATTGCCTCAAGTAGAATAGGATAAATGGAAGGAGGCTATAGACAGAGAAATGGAGTCTATGGATGTGCATCAAGTGTTTACCCTTATGAGATTACCAGCAGGAACAAAGGCTGTGGGGTGTAAATGGATATATAAAAAGAAGGATTTACACAGAGAAGGAATGTTCATATGTTGACTAAGCCTTTAAATGTAGGCAAGCATCAAGAATGTGTAAAAGCATTTGGATTAATAGCTGTTTAGCTTTAAATGGGAGGAGTGTCAAGGTAATAATTTAACAGCTAACTAGCTTGTATAAAGTGAGATGCATGATGTAATGATGGGAATGACTCAGCAGGGTCTATGTCCCTTTAAGAGCCAATTGGGTCTGTGTCCCTTTAAGAGCCTTTGTATATCTCCCAACAGTTTCTTATTAATAGTAAATGAACAGTGAAATATAGAATGCGATACAATAATTATTATTTTAGAATGTCTTGTACTATTTTTTACTAGAAGATGTAAAATTTGTAATTTTCTCTTGTAAACACTTTTAAAAAAGTTTTCTACACAATAATTGTTTTGATCTTTCATATCTGAATAGATCTTGATAATTGAGATTTAATTCTTACGATGTTAATATAAAACTGTAATTGCAATATAATACAACTGTCAGTATATAATTTATTATCATTAATTACACTGGTTAAGTTTTAGGCATTATACATGTTGTATAAGAAGAACTGTTCCTTCTCATCTATTATAGTCATAGCTTTATCAAACTGCAAATTAATTCAGTTTTTGATTCTTTCTCACAGTTTGTAGTACATTTTAGAGTCAAACATTAATAAATCTTTTTTAAAATATCACCTTAGATTTGTCATATCTTCTAAATGTATTCAGTAGTTTTACAATCTGTATTCTTGTATCCTCTTCACACAAAAAAATCCATGAGGAGTTTTTGCTGTATGAAACAGAAAACCTGAAAGAAAAAAAAGTTTAATTTATTGTAAACCTGGCTTAGAAAAAATTCTGTAACTCAAGTGGTTTTGCTGATATTAGGAAATATTTATATTGATAATCTTGCTCTATTGTGGACATTACATTATTTCTTAAAAACCAAATCAATACTGAGTCTTGTTGATTTACAAAAGAATAAAAAAAGGGCTACCACTGTCTTCAACATTAAAATGTCTATGGTAAAGGTAAGTAATTTAAAGCATTGAATAACTAATCAAACTTACAGAAATACAAAGACAAAATATAAAAGTGATATTGAGAAATACATAAAATTAGTCATCAAAGTAAAATGAAATAATAGTAACAAATCAATATAAATAATTCAAAGTGAAATAGAGTAAAATGGCAATAATGAAGAATTCACCAAAAGCTCTTTGGAAAAGTTCATCTTCAGTAGCTTCAGGGGTGTTTAAAAGATTACTGCTTTGTCCGAACTACACTAAGCCAATTATAAAGAAAAAATATTGCTACTGCTGCTGCTGCTATTATTTTCACCCATTTTATGATAAATTATATTGATTGTTTGACATATGTATCTGAACAGCCCAAATGCGTTGTGTTGCAGACTGTTGTCCAAGTGACTGATTATTTCCTTGTAAATAAGTAGAATGTATTGCAGAGATGGTAAAAGTTATATGACATGGCCAGTCAGTTTCCATGGAATCAACTCTTCGACATTTTTATCAGTTAAATTGGATGAGGGAAATTTATAAGATCTGCAGATGATACAAACCTTCAAGGGATCGCCTGCCAGTTTAGATGAAACAGGAAAGATTCAAAATGATATAAATGGGCTTGAGGGGTGGACAAAACTGAATAGAATGGGATTCAACAGGGAGAAATGTAAAACTCTGCACCTGAGTAAGAAAAATATACGGCAAAATATAGGTTGGAGGGCAAAAACGTGCCAATAGCACATGTGAAACAGACAGCATATCTGTGTGTCCTTAATGAACAAAAATAAAATGTGAGCCAGTAATGTGATACAGCTGCTAAAAAGGCAAATGTTATTTTGGATGCATTAACAGAAACAAAAAGCCCAGATCACTATAAGTAAATGTTCCCTTTTACTTTCCTCCATCCCCATTTGGGGTACTTTGCCCAGGTCTGTGCACCAGTTTAAAAAAGACAAAAATTGGAATGAGTTCAGACAGTGGGGGAAGGGAGTCTGAAAATGAAGTCCTATGAGAAAGAGTTAAAGGATCTGGATATGATTCACGAGAAATATGACAGTAGTTTTCAAATATCTGAAAGGTTATCACATAGAAAAGTGGACTTCAGTTTTTAACTTAAAAAACTGAACATTACAACAAGAATTGATTTTAACAGCTAGCCCATGAATGAGAGAAAAATGAGAAACAAGAGGTATTGGAGATATTCAACAACAAAGGAATACAGAAATGCCTTTGAGTGTCCTACAGAAGAAACAGCCGCTCAATCTCTGGAGGGCAACTGTCCTGAAAAGTAGAGGGGATGTGCTGCTATCAGTAAGAGGATATGAAAGTCATAATAATTGGTTACTCTACGGCCTGTTTGATTGACTGACTCATGTGTTAATGTCTGGCAGCATGGATCAGGCAAATGATGGAGAAGCTGCCCAAACTTTCATAGTCCACAGAAGATGACTAGAAAGGGGAAGCATAATAGTCCCGCACACTGGTTAGTTACAGAAATAGTGTTAATGGAATACTAACTTTCTGTATGTCCACTGATGAAATAAACGTCTTACGTTTAGCTACAGTTTCTTATAATTTCTACAGCAGTTCCAGAATTTCATTCTGTTCAACTCATGCACTATAGACCAGAAGTTTACAAATTTGATTTTATGTCCATTTTATATGGACTATTAATGGACTACTTTAAAGCCCTTCAGAATTATAAATAAATTTGTAAGTTTAATCTTTATCTCTTCAGACAATAGTATATTATGATGGTTTATTTATTAGTCATACTTAATAGTTTTATAAATCTGTGTAACAGTAGTATGGGATATATGTGGATAAAGAACTTAATGTTCCTTAATGTTCTGTATACTGTAGAAATAAATAATTGATACTGTAGAAATAAATAATTATTAAGTTATATTCAATGACTCAATGAAAACTCAAAGATAACATCTTCTTACAAAGTGCATGTTCTTCATTTTCTATATACTAATGCTCAGACTATAAGTGATAAACAAGATAAGCTTAGTACATATGATTTAATATGTATGTTATAACTGAAAACACTGGTTTGATTTCATTAGAACACAGGAACTCACAAATGCAGTTTGTTCAAAATGAACGGAATTTATAGAAATTTATAGAAAAGGAATGAACTTGACCTTACTTAAAGAATCTAGATCAAAATAAGTAGAGGAATGATAAGAATAGATGTTGCTTATGTCTCCTACCAGTCACAAAACCAAGAAAAAATGATGATGTATTCTAAACCAAACTGCTGATCTTTCAAAGAACCAAGAGATTTTAGAACTTAGAATTTCTTAGAATTTCGAACTTAGAATTACCTTACATCCACTGAGAGATAGTGCCAGGGATGGTTCTTCCAGGAAATGCAGGATCTGTCTTGCTCATTGCTTTTTTCCCTCAAAAGGTGAAGAAAGGTATAATAGGATCTGCTATTCTCGACTTGATCCTACCAAATAGGAAATATTTAGTTGATGAATTGAAAATAATAGGAACATTGGAAGAATTCTGGACATTAAGGGAAACTAAACTTAAATATAAGCAAACATGTATCTTAGACTTCAAGAGGTAGATTTTAATAAATTCAGAGTAATGATCAATAAGTTCAGATATCAGAAGATGCAAATGGAAAAATAAATTCATGATTGGTAAGAGTGTCTAAAAACACCAAAAGTACCACTGAAAATAATTCCAATGAGGCAAAAAAGAAACTACACTAGAAGAAGCTACACAAAAACTTAGTAAAGATCTGAAAATAAAAAATGTACATAGGAGATGGAAAGATCATCACAAAAAAGCATATACAGATAGTCTGGTATTGTATAGACTGTATCAGGAAAGCTAAAGTTCAGAACAAGAATGAGATTAATGAAGGATAGTAAGACCATTAAGAGCCTTTTCAATTACATTCTAAATTTTAATGGAATAATGTTCAGAGTGAAAATGGTAAAAGGTATAGCAAAGAACAAGCATAACTACTATTTTGGCTCAGTGTTCCTCTGAAGTGAATTCTGTCAGCAGGAGACTATGAAGAGTTGACTGAAGGACAGGATTTACCTGAAAGCTGACAGAAACAAGGCATAGAACAACTGACCCTGAATATCTCCAGAGCCTGATGGACTGCATCTTAGGTGACTGAAGGAATTTCTATCCAAAATTGAAAGAATCAGATAGCTAGAGGTAAATTGTTTCCTGTCTTTTTCTAAGGTTGAAATAGAGTAATGGATACCTGGGAAAATTATAGACCAGATAACAAAGTGACCATTTGCAAATACCTCAAAAAACCATTTATTAGTTGTCAGAAATTTATATGGATTTATCAAGAAGTAATCACACTAATATTATTTCCCTTTTCGATTAGGTAATTTCTTTAGTAGATCATGGGAATAATATGGATATAATATATTTTGACTTTCAGCAAAGCATTTGATAAAGTATCCTGTAACATTCTATGAAGGTGGGATGAGAAGTCCATTGGAAGGAGCCACAGTTGCCTTGAAAGAATGCTCACTGACAAAGATTGTACAAAGAGTGCTCATTGACGGCCTTTCGTTAAACTAGGGTGAGGTTTGATTGTAGTTAATTGCAAGCTGAATAAAAAAATCAGTAATATAGTGCAGCTGCCAAAAAAGCAAAGTCAATAGAAGTACACTTTACATCAATAGAAACAAAGTTTGACATTACCAGAAGAAACAATTCTGTTCTCTTCTCCATTGGCCAAGCTGCTCTTTCAGAACTATGTTCATTACTGGCCAACACATTTCAAAAAGATGCAGAAAAATTATAGAACATGAAAAGAAAGTCTGCAAGGATGATCAAAGTTCTGAAATTAAGTCTTACCAGCAGAGACTGAGGGAGTGGCATATTCACCACTGAGCAAAGAAAAGTGAAGGGGGACTGTGACAGCACTCTGTGAGTGTCTGAAAAATTGTCACATGAAAACCCAAGATCTGTTTTTTATCATCACAGATGCAGGGCACAGAATAATGCTCTTTTTACAGTATAAGGCAGATTCTAAAAACCTCTTAATGGTAAGTTTGACATGGAACCAATTATCAAGGGAGAGAGCTTTCCTTTCCTGGATGTTTTCAAGTGGAGACCAGAAGCCATCTATTTGGAAGATTTAAACTGATTCATGAACTCAGCAGTGGGATGAAGCTTAACGGCCTAAAAATGATCCCTTCCAATTCCAAGAGCCTGTAGTTCACAATAGCATATCTTGTTTTTACACTTACTCATGCATTAATGGTAAAATAGTCCATGTTCCTTCATGTCTGTCCATCTGATGAGTAAGCAGAATGGTAGGCATTTCCTTTTAAGAAAATATATTTCATGAACCACAGAGCAATGAACACCTTAAACAATGCTATAAACAGAATACTTTGTTTAAATTAAACATTCCTATTCATAAATACCAAAAATATTTTCAAACACGAGTATTTTCTAAGGAGTAGTAACCTAAATAAGTAATAAGATTACCTATTCAAGCAAGTAGATTCACATAGGAACCTTACTGAAAATAAACATTACATTCTGATCTACTGATATTTACATAGTGGCATTGATAAAGTATGCACAGAATCCTGAAGATAAATGAAATGTAAATATCAGGCATAAAAGTCGTACAAGCATATTTCAGCTGCTAATCCCAAAGGATATATCTCAGCATTTCTGAGATCTGTGAAAAAGCAACTGAGCTGCAGTTCTACCTTCATTAAATGCCTTAAGCTTGATTATTCTTTTAATCTACAATTGAAAGCACAAGCAAAATGCTGTTTTTGAACAGTGAACTTGGAAATAAAAGGCTCAAAAACAATAAAAATTAAGCACAAGACATTTTACCATAGATCTGAAAAGAAGAATAACTTTGTATTTTTATTGTTTTGCAGAAACTGAATGTGCAGATATTATTATGAGTATATATCCCAATCCCACTATAAATGCATTAGAACATTTATTTAGCTTAAAAATCCTACCTGCAGGCAACCCTACCTACCTAACACATGCATATTTTTTGGTATCAGATGCATATCCAGGTTTGATTAATGCAATTTGAATATATTTGATTGGCATTAAAAGTCATTAGGCAGTTGCAATAGTCAGCCCAGGAGTTCAGTTTTGATCTGAAACTTACGAGTGTGAATTATATTTTAAATACACTTTAAAAAATCAACATATTGATTTTTGGTACCCATTTTTGAGTCAAGTGTATTTTTTTAAGAATAGTATAAAATCAGTAATATAAAAGTTATTTTGTGAGCCTAACTATATGTATGTCCATGCAGATATACATTACTGAGATCCATGGTTATTTTTAATAAAATGAAGTGCTATTTTCAGAATCGTATCTGGTATATTACTACCTTTAGTAAAAATATCTTTACTGCTTATTTTATATTTACATGATAGAGAGCATGCAGGTAAGTGACTGAACAGATTTTAAATAAAGGGTAGTTTTTTCTTGTTCTTCCCTTTCACAGTCATGGTTATACAAGAATCAACTATGAGAGTATACTGCAAATGGCTGGCTCTTATCAATTTTATTCCCACCCCATTCATCATTTTTATAAGTTTATTCCAGCCAATTTCTCTAGTGATTTATGAGTTTGCTCCTCCCCCACCTCCGAAAAGCAGGGGGAGACTGTATAAAAATGTGCACATCTTTTTATACATTTCTCCTACAGCATTATTCATACATTTTAAAAACAATTTTGTGTCAATTAGCTAGGGTTTACTTCATCCATATAGCCATATATATAAATCTATGATATATTTTTATAAGGGTAGACTTGTGAGATATGTCAGAAGAGACTGTAATATAGCACAGATTGTAATGAATAAAACCATCTCTAGATATTCAAAAGTGAAAATCAATTTTAGATAATGTAGAATTTGCTATTTTCCAGGATCATAATATTGCTAATTTTGCACAAATGCCAAATTTCAATCCTTTTGAAGACTAAGCAAATAGGCCGTCAGCTTAACTGCAAGCAGTTACACCATCAACTATTTACATCAGTATGACTTGTAACAGGCAATAAAAAGTTGCCATACTCCAAATAGATTCCTGGAATTTTGCAGCATAACACTTATTTTTCCTAAATTACAAGAATTGTGTCTATGTAGGTACTTCCCAATGATAACTATTTAATGCCTTCAGTTGAACAACTGTTTCTCCTGCTTGCTGAAGATACCTGATTATTTGGAGATGTGTCTGCATAAAACGGTTTATATTTCATTCTATGAAGCCATATATCTAACCCAGTGTTTTTCAACTTGGCCATTTTAGGGTGTTGCCTTCAACATCTTTAACTCTCAGACTTCTTCAGTCATGCTGTTTGGGGAATTCTGGAACTTGAAGTCTACTCATCTCAAAGATGGCAAGTTTGAAAAACACTGATTTCAACCTTTTTCCTTAGATAGAGTTGCCAAAAATTTAATCATTTCAGGAAAATTGTCTTAATTTATCTGATTTGTAAAAAAAATATCATTGGTTTAATATTTTATCAGCCACCTATTGGTGGAATGAAAATATAATGGAATATTATTCCTTATCAGAGTAGTTGAAGGTTATGGTCTGCCACACACAGCCTCCCCACTGGGCCGCCAAGCTGGAAAGGTTGGGGACTGCTGTAAACCATGTAAACCATGTTTTATCATGCATTATAGACAAACACTGTCGCCTTGTGCCCTTCCCCGCCTCTTGTCCCAGCCATTTTTTCCAGTATTGATGCAGAAGTACTAGTCTGCATTTAACTAGAATTCATTATTATCTTTCATAGTATATTTATTTGTTGTTCTCCAAATACAATTATAGCATATAATCTCTATATAAAATAAATATGAACTAGTACCGCATGACCAAACCACAGAACAGCATATTACAAAGGTTTGAATTTCACTCCATTTCCTGATGTTAACATGAAATTACTCTCGGGCAAAATGGTAATCCATATCCCACCTATATATTTTTCTCAGTATTGCACATTATAATTACTACATAATAGATCACATATAGGTTTATTCCCTCCCCAACCAATAGCAAAAGAATATACATGGATAAAAGAAAATGGAAACATATTCTATATTTTAATTAAGATGTTTTAGGCAATGTGCATTCCCATCATCTACTACTGATTATTTTTAATTTCAGGAAATGAAGCTACAATCTTATACATGTAAAACATGTTATTCAATTCAATTACAATTCCTCTTGTTTCAGGAGCAAAATTCTTTAGTTTACTTGATGTGCATGGAAAAGAGATGGTGTAGGAAATATCCATATGGAATGGACCTCGGAGAATATAACAATTTTGTATGAAGGCACTAATAATAGCTACAGTGTGATAGTAATAACTTACCCCAATTTCAATATGTTTTATTCATAATTATTTATCATGCAAATAAAAAATGTCTTTCTTCAATATAGCGGTTCTTTTCAGAATAACAATAATGCAGTCCATTTCTTTCTTCTTAGACATACTATTTATAACAGTACATTTAATAATTCTAAATAAATGTAATAGGAAAAATGTTTCATTGTGTTTTATTACTGTTTATTCATTAGTTTGTGAAAATATATTGTAGGCAACAAATGCAAGGATATTGCAGTAACAAGGAATGCAGGTACATTAACAAACCAATAGCAAAGCAGATAGAAAACTACAAACATCCAGACAGAAAAAAGAAAATGCATGATTTTCTATCAGGCAGATAGAAAATAGAAATACAACAATGTATGAAAATCATGTCAGGCACATTGCCATTTTCCTGACTTTTCATGAATTTGTATTTATTTATTTTTTAAATTTACAAAGGTAGTTATCTATCTCTGACAATTTCCTTTGCTTGCAATATTAATATTCTTTGTCTTGTTGATAGAATAGAAACTGCTATTAGTTATCAATCACTTTCTTGCTTATACTTTCAAAATATGTCTATTGATAAATGGTTACAGATAGTAATTTCCTCAGATAGCAACCTTTTGCAATTAGGATGATTATGAAAAAGTACCTTTGTCTCAAATGCCAACATTTAGAACACCAAAGCATTCAGTGTGAAATTGATTAAAGTCTGGTCAGTTTCAGGCAGTAGCTGGAGCCTGCCAAGGATTCTACAGGGAGTCCTTGCTTATAGACTGCCTTGTTTAAGGACTGTGTTCTAAGTTAATACAATGTAAACAAAATAGCTTTGTGACCAATCCTCACATTTATGATCGTTGCATGTAACCACCATTCATGTGCTTTGCAACCAACATATGTTTACAAATGTTACAGCATTCTGTGATCAGGCAATCACTATTTGTGTGTTTACAACTGGCTGTGACAAGCAAGTTAATAGAGAAGGCAGAAGTAAAATTATAAGCCGTGATCAGGGGATGTTTCACTTAGTGACCATAGCCCTTCACTTAACAACCAAAGGGGAAGTAAGGTTCTAAAACTATTTGATTGTATGATTTTCTGTTTAGTGACCAGCACATAATGACTAAGTTATCAATCTAATTGGATCGCTAAGCAAAGACTACCTGTAATCAATTAATTACTGTGACAGAGCTAACTTTGTTAAATTGTGATTAGCTCCTCTAACTCCCGTGAACCGCAAATAGTCTTGATTTTATTTAAGTCAACAATGCAAATAAAGTTCTATTTGCCTTTAAATTAAGAACTTAGCATCTATTTTATCAATAAAAAACAACATGTAAGAACATACATATTAATGTTAGGACCTTGTTAGGATCCATTATTAAACAAAACTCAAATATGCATTTAATCTGCATAATGTGCTTAAATGAGAAAAAAAAATCATGCAAAACAAAGGAAAAATCAAACAGCATAAGTATCATGTTAAAAAATAATTAAAGAATATATAAATGGAAGCTTAGAAATCAACTGTTAAACAATTGTACGGGTGAATATTTTCAGCTTTAAATGAAAAACGTATTCTTGAATTATAATTCAACTTTCAAACATAAAAGAAGACGAAAAATATATATATTTAGCATAATAGCATACCTTTCCCAAAGAGGCAGCCTGTTTTAAAATATTTTGTTTAAGATCATATGCTTTCTTCAAATGATAAGAGTTCTTCTGACTCTGGATGACAAATACTATTTCCCTTAGCTCTGTAAATAGAAATAAATAAATAAACAAACGATGTCAACAATAGTTAAGTGAATTCAGTATTATTGTAAATAGCACACTGAAAGACACCTTGGGTTTTCAAGTAATGTACATATACATGAATATCTTCTAAACTGGCTGAGAAAAGCAAGAAAAAAGTTTTCAATTTAAATAAAAGAATAGTGCTAGAATCTTACTAACACTGAAAATCCAATTCACAAACTACAGTGTGGAAAATAAGATACAATAAAAATACTCATGTAATTTTACAAGAATTTGTATAGCAAATTGGATTTTTAAAGTATTTGTGCATTGAACCTAAGGTAATTTACTATTTCATTTAGAGTAAACAGTTTTAAATGCTACTTGTTTTCTCAGATGCATTATGCCCCTGTAAAAAACAATGTAAACTTGTCTCATAGGTACAAAAATAATTCACACAGTGGTACTTACAAAAATAATGATTTCCTTAACATATATAAAAGAATCTATTGGAATTTTAATGATCTCTTCACTTGTTTCAACTACTGGTTAATCATCAGATCCTGTTGCCTATCTATCTATCTATCATCTATCTATCTATCTATCTATCTATCTATCTATCTATCTATCTATCTATCTATCTATCTATCTATCTATCTATCTATCTATCTAATCTATCTATCTATCTATCTATCTATCTATCTATCTATCTATCTATCTATCTATCTATCTATCTATCTATCTATTTTTCATCCTTCTTAACCACTTATCTTCCTTAGAGAGGGACTTAATATCAATATAGCTATACTGTAGATACAATTACATTAAACTGTCCGTGCTCATTATGGCATCTAAAGTTTGATCCAAGCATAATGAATGTCTCAATGGTCCAAAGAGAGCTCAAGGGAATTATTTGTCTTATCCACCAATTCTAAAGGGTCCGGGATGGACTGTGGGTCCGGGAACAAAGTTCATAATGATTCTAGTTCTCTTTCCCCGAAAATGACTACTTGGTTCGACTAATTATAAGTATAGTTCCAAAATTTTGTCGAAAATGTAATTAGTTACAGCAAATTTTGAAGTAACGACGGGTCTTTCTAAAATTCTCCGAAACGAAGAGGTTAAGACTGAGCAACCTTCTCTTAAAAATATTCAACCTTTCATCAAATAATGAAGGGAAAAGGCAATGTTTGTGTTTTGTTCTAAAATAATCACATCAGGAACCATCTCTGCTGATCTGGGCTGTGGTTCTAACTGCTCTTGGTATGCACCATCCCTTCCAATCCATTTCTTTGTATCAAGGTCCCCTCTAGTCAGACCTATACAAAAGGTTGTGGTATAGGTTACACTATACCACATTTCAAAATATACAAAGCAGTTCACAATATAAAAATAGAAGACGAAATAGTTTATCAAAAGCCAGCAAATAAGAGCAAGTTAATATTAATGTTCACATTAATAATGCACAATCTCAATAACTCGGGAATATAGACTGTACAACTACTATAGTATTCAGATGCATAACTTCTTTTAAAGTCCCATAAAATGTTTTGTGTCTAAATACTTACACAGATGCCTCAAGTCAAGTCAGAATAGCCAAACACAAATGCACACAAAAGTCACAAACTGTCCTACTCTGATGACACTTACTGAAAGACTAAAAATGTGTGTGCCTCTTCATCACTCACTGACACATGGGTGCCGTATCCCATGAATATCATCATGTTGTTTAGTTTTCAGTTCATAATGCTTTTTGCAATAGCATAATTTCTTACCCTCTTGTTTCAAACCATTTATAAACATAACCATGAAAAGAATGGTATTAAGCAGATAAAAGTCTAATGCAGAGAATAATATAACCTTGCCAAGATGAAGTACAGGAAAATCTTTTATCAGAAGTACTTAATCAGAAATAGAACAGGGAAGAGGAAGAGTCCATAGCTCAGCAGTCAATGCATAATTCCCTTGGATCTTCACTAAAACTAATCACATTGCAGTGGCAGAAGAGGAGAAAGAACCCTGTCCATATCCATGAAGACCTACTGCAAGACCCACCCCAACCACAATATTTTGGACTTCAGCTCCCATTAGTGACACACTTGATGGCAAATAAGTGCAGTACAAGTAGATATCAAAGTTCTTATTCCTGGAATAGATAGCATTAGGCTAGATGGACAATCTGTCCTAGTTAAATCAACATATTTTTACTGAAAGGAGAACTTAATAGAGCAGAGGGTATTTGTTATTCTGGACTTTACAGCCTCCCAGTACAGCTTGCAGTTAATATCAACTGGAGTAGAATAGGAAGAAAGGGTGCTTGCTGTTCTTTTGTTATACAAATAGACTTCTTAAAGGTATCTGGCTGGTGTCTCAGGGAAAACAGTTGCATAAACCATACACTTGGTCTGATCTCGTGTGGCATCTTCTTATGCTCTTACAAGTTGTTCTTGTGAGGATAAAGAAAACAATGAAAACTTGTGATCCAATCACAATACTATACTAGTAATTACAAGGATTAAGTCCTAGGAAGGTACTACCAGCCATAATGTGACAATGAATGCTACGTATATTATTCATCCTGATTGTTAGACTTTATTATACTGTTAATATCAAATAGGTTGACTTACCTTTGCTTATTTGGCTTGAATTCTCATTTTTTCCTGGCATCTGTATTAAGAAACCAGAAACTACATTGAAAACGCAAAAGAACAGGGGAAAAAACTCTTTAAGTTAGTTACAAGTGGTTAAAAATATTCATAACCTTTAACAAAAATCTTAGTATATCAGCACCATTTATATTGCAAGTTTCGAGTATCTAACGAGCCTCACACTTACCAACTCAGTAATTCTTATAAAAGCTTTGCAAAATAAAGCTAATCTTATTATTTTCATATAGCAGAAAACAGGACCTTGCCTAAGGCTGCCAAATGCATTGGTAGCTAAGTCTTTAATTCCATGTTCACATTCTTAGTTGTCACACTACACTATCCCTAGCTTAAGTAGGTTTATTAAAAGGGCCCCTGGCAGAACTTTATTTTATACCACTTTATTAGAAATTGTAGCATAAAAAATTAACTCCTGTGATCAAATTTGCCATTTTAAGTTACTGTTTGTTATAATCAACTGGAACTTATATAGATAATTAAACGAAAATACTTTTACAAGTTCAAATATTACAACGGTCAAATATTGATGAGAACATATATCCCACGAAAGCTCAAATCCAAATTATATTATAATCTAAACACAGCTGAAAAGGCCAAAACAAAATCTAATAATTCAGTGTTATGTACAGAGATGTCAGAACTTAGCACTGTGCTTTGGAGCAAAAAGTTCACCATAGCATCACCCTGGAAACCAAGTTCTAAAAATATCTTGACTATTATTCAGTAGTGACTAAGCAACTGATAGCAGATACTTGCTGAAATTGCCTATACATCATGTGGCAATCTCACTATTCAAGAGGAAGCGTTTCCTAACCAATGAGATACAGCAGCAACATAAAGAGGCACAAGGAAATTATTTGTATTTTTCAA